AAACACAAGTGCACAGCTGCAGACAGCTTCAAAAATGGCCGCTCAGATGCCAATCAGACTCCTCCTTGCATGACGGGTCCGAGGAAGTCGTTTCAAGACGGAGCATTTTCTGTAACATCTGTCTGCACTGCCTATGCCCCCCCGCTTTGGCAGTGGTTTGTGTAGACCTGCTGCGCTGTGCACACGGATGCCACGTGGGGTTAATGTCTCGTGCCCGTGGACCTTATTTATTAGCAAGCAGGCTTGTGGATTAGGGTGCATTTCCTGGAGAATGAGAAATGCTGCTCCGAGCTTTCAGGACGATGCTTTCCCCCCTCCTTGTGCTCGAGCAGCTCGACTCATGGCTCTCTTGTTGCATCCCCCCAGGTCGCAGCGCCTTGAGAAACGAACGGCAGCCCACAGGGTTCGAGAAAAAGGCACTGATATGGGCAGGGCGGTTTGAGAAAGAGGAGGACATCCCAGAGCTCGTGTCGTAAGTAGGCCTGTTTTCTGGGGACGATAAAAATCTCCGTACCCGACGTATCCCAAAAAGCTCAGCTTCAAACTTTCCTCTCCCCATCAGCTGCAAAAACGCATCCGAATGGTGCGTGCTCTTGTTCGAATGCTACCACTGGGCTGTGTGACAGTGAACAAAATGTGTGGGTGCACTGCCGTTCACCACATCCAAAAATAATCCAGATCCATTTGGAAACTTTAGCTATTTATATATTTATGTATGTATTTTTTTGCCGGCTCTGGAAAGTAAATTGGATTCAGTTGCTTTTGAAAGGAAGAATTTCAGAAGCTGAAAAGTGTTTTGTGAAATAAAAGTCTTCTGAGTTTGCAAGGCATTGAGCTGCCCACCCCTGTCCAGTTTGGGTTTCCTATAGTTAACTGGTTCTTCTGAATTCGCTCTTAAAAAGGTCGCAGGAAATTTAACAGAAAATTGGGAGCAAAGTCCTCTGAAGGGTGTTTCCATCATGCAAGCTCACGTGGTCTCATTTCCCTTGTTCAAGCTTTATTCCCCAAGGATCAAATCACCGTCTCTAGAGACTTTAATACTTCCTGACTTTTAACATGTCAGTGTTAATTAAACATGGGATCTCTAATGAACGCTTTTCCCGTACAGAAGGCATTAAAGCCAGGACTTGATATATCATGTATTAAGGTGACACGTGAAGCGCTGGTTGCAGCAAAACGATTATCATGCAAGCGCCCTCAGCTATTTGCAGAACTGCGCCGGCCTCGCTCAGCCGGGCTGGGGACATTTGGTGCTGTGATGACATCTCCAGAAAAACCTACTCCTTCTGCAACCCCTGCGCCTGGGCTGCTTGAAATGGCCAAAATTAGGAGCCGTCTGTGGGTTTAGCAGGAAAGTGAATAGGGAAAGCTGCCGGTGTGTGAAGGACACCTCAATTAGCCATGGAGTAGAGGTGCCAGGACCAGGGATTTTCCTGGAGGCTTTCCAGCAATTTTAATGAGAGGAAGGGACTCCAGCAGAGACTGGGGGGCTGTAGGAAGGAGGCAGGTACCTGGCCCCTCTTAATGGCTTTCCATAGAGAGGCAGGCAGCGACCAGAGCCAGTCCCTGCCTGGCACGTTCAATGGTTTGTCACATCCCTGGGTGCGAGGCAGGGGTGGAGAAGGGGCCCATGGGCTCACCCCACAGGAGCTTTGTCCATGAATGCTGCGGGAAGGCCATGTTGGGACCCCACGGTCTGTCCTTGCACGTGAAACCCTGCTGGCACCCAATGCAGATGGGCACTCGTGGGAAAGCCCAAAGCTCATGCGAGCTGTCTTCCAGCCACGCTTGGTTATGCACAGGCTACAGGAAATTGTCTCTCAATAAGCAGATCACTTAGGAGAAAACAGAAGGATTTGGTACCTGCCCTTGGAAAGGTCCAGGCAGGGCTTGAGCCACCCCCTTGTATTCATGGCATCATAAAATCTTAGAAAATATGGGTGGAAGGGAGCTCAGGCGGTCACATCTAGTGCAACCCCCTGCTCCAAGCAGGACCA